AGAAGGAAAAAAAATAATTCAACCATAAAAATGCAAATCAGTACAATGGCACAAGATTGCAATGCTGAAAAGACTGAGAGCTTTAGCCAACAGTTAGCCCCTCTATTTAGCATAGGAGGTTGCTTGGTGTGCTAAGTAGAGGGGCACTGTTGTTTGGTGTGATAAGTAGAGACTTCCTGTAACACAACATGTTGTTTCACTCCCTCTCCACTTATGTGGAGGTGCACCTCCTTTTTGTATTTTCTGCCCATCTCCCATATGTTGCCACATGACCCTTCTGCCTACTACTATCGAAAACGCTTAGGTGAGTTTGACACCAACACATCTGTATAGAGAGGAACTTTGTCTTGTAAAATCAAATAAAAAATAAATATTGCACTCATGATAACAACAACAGCTTATATCATGAATGTTGATTCATATGAGATTTTGAGACAAAGAAGTGCTTATTAATAATAATGAAAAATCAAAACAAACTTGCAATTATCTATTTCCAAAAGGGATTGCATTATATTTGTTTATTTGAATACATACGAATTAGACTCCTCAAATTTAATGATTATATAAACTGCTGAATCAAGCCCAAGGGATTATAAGAAGTTTAAAGAATCATTGTCCTGGATTTAGTGGATTTGTGTGAGTCACTTATAAGTTGCATTTTTTCTATTTATTATAAACATATATATTTATGTAAAGGAGTTATTGCAATAATTTTTTTCCTTTTTTACCAAATAATCTAAAGGTCAGCATCATGAATTTATAAAAACAACTTACAAAGCTAAACAAATTGAACACATGAAAATATCTTACTTTCATTAACATCTACATTAAAAATGCCATAGTTTTTTTAAAGTAGGGAATGATAATATTTTTACTTTCCATATTTTTTTACAACCCAATAGATGAAAAAAACATATGGAACCGAATTAATGTATAATTGATTTTCTTTACAAAAATAAAAATGCAAATAAAATGAAAACACCAACCTATAGGCTGGTGTAACACTGGAAAGCAATCAATAGGCTATTACAATAATAGTTCCATCATCCATCACTCAAACCAAGGGAAATTACATACAGGCAAAAGCAAATCTTCCCCCATTAATGATACTTTTCGAAATAAGAATCAATGGATATTATTTTTTGCTTTATTGGATGCTCAAAATCTAATAGTATTTAAGCTTCCAACCTATATGTTTATATTTATAATTATCTAAAATTTTATACAGTTCAGTTTAGCTAGCTTAAGCTAGTGGTTAGAGAAGTGACTAGATCAACACCTTGCCATCACCACTTCAGGTTCTTGAATGCCACGAGGTCACCTTAATTGAGGAGCCACAAGCCATGTAAATAGAAATGTCAAACTGTGTTAGTGCTGAAAGGTCAAATGAAAGAGAAATTATGTGATATAGGTTATAGGCATAAGGAAGTTCCAATGGATGCAACTTGATATGAACCACAGGAATATTCCAAGAATATTTTATGGCATGTGGGATTTAAGGCCGTAATGCATTAAGGGCTGGGAGGTTGGCCTAGGGTTTGCTCTCTTGTTCATTTCATTAGTATAAGAGTAGCACATTCTTTTAGGGATGGCGGGTGAGCAAAACATTGATCCTAATGAGGAGTATGGTATTAATGTGTAAGCAACCAAAGGAAATGACTCAAGAGAAGATCCATAGGGGTTCAAATATAAAGGGAAAAGGCCCATGAACAAAAGTGCATCTTCTTTTCCAATCCGTTAAGGGTTTTGGGATATTTGAGGTTAAACGTACTTGGGTTTGAATTGTACTGGGCTGAGTGAGTTTACATTTGGTATAAGAGTGGTCTCAGGTCTAACTCTGTTGGTTGGCTAAGAGAATCATACCACATATTGATTGACATCTAGTAGGTCTAGTTTGCTCTCAATTGGGCTCGACCCGAGGGGTAGGGTGTCAAGAGAGCGGGGCTCGAGAGAGAGTTGCGCCTCTCAGTTTCCGTTCACGAGGGCGTAAACTTGCAAGGAAGCGTGATGGATTGTAAGCAACTAAAGGGAACGACTCGAGAGACAATCCATAAGGGTTCAAATATAAGGGAAAGGGCCTATGAACAAGAGTGCACCCCCGTTTCCAAAGTCTTGGGATATTTAGGGTTAAGCGTCCTTGGGTTTGAATAGTACTGGGCTGGGTGACCTCCCAGGAAGTCCAATCTCAGGAGCATACATAATGATGATAGCCATGACGATGCGAAAGAGACTCTTGATAATGTCGTTGTGTGATGATAGCCAAAGAGACTCTTGATAATGTCGTTGTGTGATGATAGCCAAAGAGACTCTTGATAATGTCGTTGTGTGATGATAGCCATGACGATGTGGAAGAGACTTTTGATGATGTCGTTGTGCGGCAAGGATGCCAG